AGCTAAGTCTGTCTGATGGAGAGGTGAATCACTCCAGCCCAATCCTTTCTCACCTGTGGCTCAGCCCCTCAGGGCAATGAGATTTGTTAACGACCATTAACAAGCACTAATAAAGTCAAAACGTGGATTCTGGATTTGCACCTTTGAAAGAGATCAGTATCAAGCCAGAAGCACAAAGTGAGCACTGCCATAACCTCATGAGCAGGCTGTGAGTTTAAGAGTTTTATATATATATATATATACTTGGCCTAATCACTGTTATGGTAAGAAATCAGTGATGAGCAACTGGGGTTGTTATTCCAAGAAACAAAGTGGTGCAACTGTCCCTGAGGTTTCTGTAGGAAATTTCACCATCAGGCTATGGAGAAATCTGAGGTCAGACTAACACCCCTCTGTATTTACTTGCTGCTCCATCCTCAGTGCTGAAACCTCCCAACGGCTCCTTTGGAGCACGTGGGCCTTTGCAAAATAGCATGTTCCCATATGTATTCTCCAAAAAACCATCCTAGGAGAGGCCCCAGCAGGCCTGGGGATTGATCTGGTCCACAGGGGCTCTGCTGTGAGCCCAGCAGCAATTAATGATTCATAACGGTGAAAACAAGATCTTCACTCCCTTGGGATAGTCTAATGTAGAGAATGTGTGTGTGTCTGTGTGTGAGAGACAGGGAATTCCTAATATTTCCGTGAATGACAGCCTCCTGCCCCGTTCCCAATATCAATAAACAATTTTCTTAGCTTTTTTCTTAGTTGTTTCATAGAATCATTAAGGTTGGAAAAGACTCGTAAGATTATCAAGTCCAACTGTTTCCATTCAGTCACCAAGAAACTGCTCAAAAGCTCTTCCCTGGAACTGATAGGCTGTTTGAACCATAAAATAGATTTAAAAAAAAAAAAAAGATTACCTAATTTTGATGGTGTTTTCCATGCTGAAGGTGCAAGTTCTCACATGATTCCATTCCTCAAAAGCTGCAAACACTCCAGCTTTGAAATAACATGTCTTTGAATGGAAGATATTGAAAATACACTTTTGGGGTTTTTTTTGGTGTTGTTGGATTTTGAACAGAGAAAATGCTCGGACCAAGTGTAATTTTGGGATATAAGGGAACATTTAACAGTAAATCTATGCAGTTCCAAATGTTGAACAGGTCTCTGTGTTGGAGGAACTGTTCATCCTGGAAGGTCACAGTTTACTATTCTATTTGACAGGTCAGCTGCAGATGGAAATTTGACCAAAATAATACTGGCAAATAATGGTCACATGAAAAAAACCCTCAAACAATTACTGCAGTTGATTCACAGATGATTCAGAAACCAAGAAGCCAAAATTGCAATGAACAGCTGGTTCCATGAATGAAATTTCCGTTTGGGAACAATATAACAGCTCCAACCAAATAACTTTGGACCTCCTGACCTCCCTACCCATTTTCTCTGGTCACCTATTGCTCAGAACCCATTTCTTTAAAAACCTCGTGGGCAAAAAATATTTTGCACTTTTAATCTAATAAAACCAATGCCCCTGGTTTATGCATGCATAAGCCATCTCAAAGGAAAACAGGATTCCCTCACTCCCAAAATAACCTGGTTAAGGATGTCTCCAGGTTTGGGTCACAAGGTTTTTTAAAAGCTCTCCAGGATTCACAGTTTGGCTCTGAGCAGAGTCAGATTTATTTTTTTTTTGTAGATTGTGACAACAATAAAAATTTATTCCTTTACAAATATTTTTCAATGCAGGAGGCAAATTGCAGTTTCCCAGGGAGACTTATTAAATCATTTTAATGATAATATCCAGAAATGAAGTAAGAGGAAACGTTCAGAGTTCAGCTGAGGAGACCTGAAGGTCAGCAAAGATGAGGAAAAATCTTGATGGAATCAAAATTTGCCTCCAAAAAATCCCAAATCTGTTCTATTATTTGTGCCTGAAACATGTCCCTGAGCTTGTGTCAAAGCACAGTTCTCTGTTAATTCATATTCTGCATGGACACCCCCGAGACAACATGTGGGCTTTATTTTAACCTCCCATCACCAGGTCTGTCCCTGGCAGGTATTCCCAAACACTGGCCATAAACCACATTTCCTCTGGAAAAAAATACACAGCCAGGAGGAATTTAGAATCCTCCAGTATTTCTATTAAAGACCTGGAAAATCACAGACCATAGGTGATCAAAGTTGCAAATATCAAACTGAAGGCAGGTTAAATAATCTGAAGGATAAGACCGAAACAGCAGGAATAATATTCTCCTGCTACTGACTCTGGATTAGTCATTTTGGTGCTGGTGTTTGCAGTACTGGAAAATTGTTGCAAAGTTAAAGAAGATGCACAATAGTGACTAAAGGACTGGAAAGCAGGGAATTTTGTGCAAGACTTGTGTGCCTGCAGGTCCCAAAGGGGAGGCTGAGGCTGCTCTGCTCATAGGTTGCTCTGAGGATACGTGGGACAGAAATCTCCCAGGAGGTGTGCTGACCTCAGTGTTGATTTATGACAGCTAGCTGGAGGGTAAATAAATTGTTGGAAGGGCATTACCAGCAGCTGTGAAGAATTCTTCATTTCTGGAAAACTTTAAAAGAAGGCTGGAAATTTTTCTCAAACACTTGATGCAGTTGACAACGGAATAAAATCCAGACCGGTCCAGTTTTTCCCAATGGACATGTGGGTGCCTTGATAATGAATTGAAGCCCACTCTGAAGTAGCTGCCTCCCTCTGTCCTTTGGGAACAGCCTATGGACTGTGTGGGGGCTGCAGAACAGCAGCTGCAAATCACTAAACTTGATAAGTGTCCCTCTGGCTGTAAAATACACGGATTAGCTAAAACCTGGAAGCCCAGATCGTAAAAGCTGGAAGCCCAGCCCTCCTTCTCTTCCTTCATCCCACTGTGACTGCCAGGTTTTTCTTCTCACTGATGTCCCTCTTTCTTCCTTCCATTCCCACTTGACCCCGCCTTGCCAACCAACACCCTTGCCAGGCACCTGATGAAATTCTCCTGGCTCCTCCTCACCACACCTGCTCCTCATTCTGCATCCAGGATTTTTATGGATACATTCCTCCTGCTGTAGACTCAGATATTTTGGACTCAGACAACAAAACTCTCCCTGCCTCTCCCTGCCCCCTCCCCTCAGGCCTGTGTCCTTCCAGGGGTCCCACAGGGGTGTCTGTGACCCATCTCCCATATGGCTCCGTGTTGCTGAAAGCACCTCCATCTGTTATCCCTCTATCCAAGTGACTCACAAATCAGCTCTTCCACCTCCAGCCTCTGATTCTCCAACTGCAGGGAACACAGAGCATTTGGTAGGACAGAAAGCATCTCTCTGAGAAAGCAGAGGGGCTGCCAAAACATGCTCTTGGTGGGTAAGATTAGGATGGAGACCAGACACCTCCCTCCTTACAAGGGTTTGAGCAGAAGGGGGAAAAAAAAGTATTTTCTGTTTCCCCTAGACAAATGTTCCTGTCAATATAAGCAATTCTAGCTGAGCTTGCCAGATCAGTAGCACCTGGATTCATGTCTGCCAGGAAAAACAGTCCTTTGAAGAACTGCAGGTTGAAAGAGGAGGATATATCCTGAGGGGAGCAGGCTTTGCCTCTACAGGGCTCCTTATCTGAAGATCAACATGTAAATTCCTGTCCTACTCCTGTACTATCTCTCTGGGTCATTTACTCCTTAGTTCCTATTGAATTTGAGATTCACATCAAAATATGGCAGAAGAACATAGGAATAAATACACTTTTCAGTAAGTAGTTTTGCAGGAAACACAGCTCTCCACAGCACCATATTTCAATTGAAGTGCAAACCAGATGATACTCTGTCTCCAAGAATGGATACAATGAAGATAATTTCTTGCCAAATACTGAGGTGCCTTTCAAATATTAACACCATGTTTTCTGCAATCTTTCAAGGAATCAAGACAGTATTTCAGTTCATTCATCAGGGGTGTCACACTTCTGAGTCAGCAATTGCACAAACCAAATGTAGCCATCCCGAAACATCATTCTAGAAGTCATGGGCATGAAAACATTCTTCTTAAATTAAAAGCTGGGGAAAATTGATGGAGAAATCCACATGTGACGCCAAGATGCTGTTTATGCACATGCAATTCTGGAAGATGCAATCAGACCTGACTGGCTGGGGCTTCCACTGAAGTGATACAAGGGGCAGAAGCCTTGGGTCAGTTCTGGCTTAAAAGGGGAATTTATTGGATTAAGTCAAAATTTCAGATTCTTTTTTCCCCTTTATATACAGCAGGTCTTGAAAATCAAGCTGTCAAACAATTTTTTTTCATTTTTATTTATTTATTTATTTTTTTTAATTTCAGTTTTCCCCATGGCCATTTCTAAGCAGTCTTTTGGCCCAGACACACCAGAACAAAACCTAGCACCACCATTGCCTCTTCTTACAGTAACTGGGTGCTGCTTCAATTCCAAATCCAGCACTGCTGCTCCAAGTACCACTGCAGATTTGGAAGCTCAGAATCCTACAAAGTCTGCCAAAAGTGGGCAGGGACAGATGGTGCCACTGAGTGTCTGCCAGGCTGCGAGCAGCAGAGGGGAGCTCTGCTCCCTCTGAACGTGCCAGGCAAGGCACAGCCACGGGAGTGGATTTCTCAGATCATCTCCCTACACCCTTTAAGGTGATGGGCATGGAAGTCTCTGTGCTCCAATATTTACAAAACCGTGGGCAATGCCACCATCCCTGTACTCACAGTATCGCTGGGAGCTGGAGACATTTACCCAAAATTACCCCAAAAGGCAGTGGAGCACCTGGGCAGGGAACGCTCCTCCCCGCTCTAAGCAATAAATCACATTATCTTTTATTTCCACGAAATCTATCCCCAGATACGCAGGTTTTGCATCCCTTTTCTCCCCAGCCACGCTTCCCTTGCTGCCCTGGGAAGTTTTTTTGGAAAAGCGGTGACGATGCCACAGCAATGCCCTCTCCCTTCTCCCAGTGTGCTTCCCAAGCTTCCCACCGCAGCAGCTAGGTGGCAAAAGTTCCCTCCAGCCTGGTAAACTTAATGATTCCCTTTTACGAAGAGCCAGCCTGCGGATCCAAACACTCCTTATTCTAAAACGATACACACATGTAAGGAAAACTCCCCTTTCACGGGGAGCACACTCAGCTCCCCCTAAAATCCCCCCAGCCTTACTCACATCGTATTTCTCCGTCATTTTCAGATGCAGAGCGCGCTTCCAGAGGGTCCTTGCACCGCCCGAATCCGGCAGCAAAACTAAGACACACAGGGCTGCAGCGAAGATCTTCTTACAGAAATGCATCTCTGGCAGCACCCCGGAACGCATCTTCCCAAGGAGAGATCCAGCAAGGAGCCCGGCTCTCGGGATCCAGGCGGTTCGGAGTCTTGGCAAGGAGGGAGGGAGCCGGGGAGGGAGGAGAGCGAGGGCTGAGCGCTGCCGAGAGCCGCTTTTCCCTGCGCAGCTTCTGGGAAGGAAAAAAAAAAAAAAATTAAAAAAAAAGGAGCCCACAGGCAGAAGTCAGGAGCTGCTGTTGAACTTCTTTAAGTTAGATCAGGTTCTCGGCTCACATGTTCACACAAAGCACATGCTCTCCTTGAATGATAGATGGGAAGATTACTTGGAAAGATTATTTTTAGACCTTTGTTCCCGACATCTGGCATCCTCAGAGAGCCCCATTCAAAGCCAAAGCGTGGGATCAGATGACAGCTGCCGCAGGGGGAAATAAAGGTCTTGGAGGGGTGGGCTCGGCAGCTTTTAGCAAACAGCTCACCCAAACTTGCCGAGGGACTGGGCTCTCCTTTTGTGTGCTTCCCACCGTGCCCCGAGCCGTGGGTTTGCATCATGTTTTGACAAAGTGATAACTTCATCTGGAGATGGCTGGAAGGAAATGACTTAAAGACACGATAAACGTGCTTTAAGGGGCTTTAATTAGACCAACTTGACGTTAGCTCTCTGCGAAGGGTTTTGAAGAAGGGGAAGATGTGGCCACTATGAAAAAACAAATCCCTGTGCATGGGTGGGGGATAGGGAAGGAAGGTGGTTTAGAAATGACATGACCAAATAGAAAGCAAGGAAGGGGACATGAGTCAGCCTGTGACTGACAATGGGAGAGACGGAAGGAGTGGACGTGGGGTTTCAGATAACTCCATGGACACAGAGGCACCCACGTGTCTGAAGGACAAGAATGGACTCATGAAGTCAGGCTGGAAGCATCCCAGCATCCTGCCTGGGACGGAGGCAGAGGCAGGTGCTGAAGAGAAAGTATGAGAACAAGGCAACTGTTACTCCTGTGTGTATATATGTAGTATGAATGTATATACCTTTATATGTAAACCTTCAGGAGTGTTGTTGAGGGCTTGGTGAGCCAAATGTAGGAGCTGTTTATTTTATAGTTCCCTCTGAATTTCTCCTCCAGTAGCTTGTCCAGCCTCTGTCTGAATGAAGGAAGAAATGGAACCACAAAGCCAGTGGAGATACAGGCGCCAGGCCCTGCTTGCCTTCAGTTTACTCTATGCAGTCCTGCTGAGCAGAGTGGAGGCTTGCTGGATCCATTGGATTTATTCTATAGTTACTCTAAAATGATTCTGCAGAGGACTGTTACACCCTGTGGACAAACACAAAAAAATTCTTCCAATTTTTCCATATACCTGAAAGCAGTGGCAAGTCACTTTGATCCCACTTTGATCCAATTCCTGCATGTAGGTGGTATCCAAAGGATTGCATCTCCCAATTTGCCAGAATATGGTGTTGAGAACTTGGAAAGAGAGTGAAGGGTGGTTTGAAAAGCTCTATATTTAAGAGAATATGTTTGGTTTATTTAAAGTTCAGGTGTTTACAAGGTTTCCAGCAGCACCTGTGCTTTGGGAGAGTTCTGTCTGTATCTCTGCACTATAAAAAGCTTATTAGCAACAAAACCTGTTCAACTCATGCCAGGGAATTTGGTTAGGAAGTAAAGCCAAGCAGGGTTTACTGTTGAGTGGGGAAAGTAGAGGGGTGGGGAAAGAGAATGAAGAGTTAAACTGAGGGAGGGTCATCTCCCTCACAGCTGCAGCAGTACAAGGAGGCCCCAGTGGGACAGCAGAACAGGTGCCTTAGCTCTGCATGGCCTGTGGATGCCCTAAGGAGTCCTGATGGCAAGTGTCTGAGAGGAGATCCAATGACTGTATATCGCAGTGTCTGTGCAATCTTCATCGCTGCCTGATCCTTGGGTTGCTCCTGCAATGACATGTCAGTTATTCCCTAAGCTCTGAGCAGGGTTTTGGGGAACTGACAGGATTTGAGGTGACCCCATGGAACAGTTATTTCAGGCATGGAAGGGGACAGGGAGTGTGCATTTGGGCTGGAGAGCCTTTTGTGCCACAGAGGCTTCGTGACCCTCCACCAGGGTGCTGAGATTGCCTCAGCAGAAAGTACAGTTCCAGGTCCCTGCCAGTACCACCCTGCCAGTTCTCCTCTCTGCCAGAGCTGTAGTCACATTTAAAAGAGTATTTATCCAAATTTTCCTTTAAATAGGTCATTTCCCTCAGGCTGTCTTCTCTTAGGTTTTCTCATGGGTCAGCCTATGGCAAAGTGACTCCTTAGTGGTTGAAGTGTGACCGTGGGATGGAGACAGAGCTCAGCACCTGCAGGGCACTGTCATCTCCACCTAAATCTCATCCAAAACCTATTTGAAATCAGCAGCTGTGCTGGAATTAGTGAAAGGCACACCCACAGAGCTTCAGTACATCCAGAGAAGAACATATCACTGCCGTAAGACTTCAACCTGTGACTTTGGTTTTTGTTGCTCAGAGAACTTTGTCTGACACAACAGGATGCTTTCAATTACCTTTAAAAACCAATCTCCCCTGTTTTTTGCAATATTAATATTTGATACTTTTGTATTAATATTAATATTGCAATATTAATATTTGGTACTTTGATAAAGTACCTCTCAGGCACAACCAGGAGCTCCCACCCATGTCCTGACTCCTGTGCTAGAAGGTGACAAATGACATGGCCGCTTGCACAGAATAAACAAGATTTTTCCTTAGAGTATTCCTACTTAATTTATGTCTTTGTGCTGATATTTCACTTGTCTGGGCTCTTGCTGGAACCCAAACCTGCGTGAAACAGCTGTTCACGATAAATCTCCCTAATTTAATTTCATTTTTTGATGTTTCATATACTTGAAATCTGGACTTGGAGCAACTAATTCTAAAGATTAATAGCTACTTCAGACACCATTTACTGGCTTTTCTCTTGGCAGATATAGAGCTTTGACATTTATCTGGGAAAAACCAGGGCCTGTGCCTTACAGTTCATGGGTTGTACACCAAAGCAGTGAGAATTCTGCAGGACTAAAACTCAACAGCTGGTCATGGTCTTCACATAAAAATGAAAGTTGATGTTATGACACTTATAACACTATAACTCCTCCTGCACACAACTATTTCATCTTACCAAAGCACTGCATGCAATGCCTGGGCTGGATTATCCCTACCAACAGCTGGGGAAACTTAGGCCCAGAGTGAGTGATCTGCTGAAATTAGACCTTCTTCCATCTGCACAACCAAACTGGAAGGGTTGTACCAGCCCAGCCTGGGCCAGGGCTCTGTGCTTCCATGTTCTGCACTCCTATTCAGTAGGGAATTCTTCATGCCACCCATTTCCATTCCTCACATCCTTCTACCTCCAGTCTGCCTTGGGAACTAGGCAAGGGGTTTTACATATTTTTATAGGATTAAGAAAAACTTTCTTAGCGCTATTGGAAAGAATATATTTCTCACCTTTTTCTGGATATTCCTCTTGACAGTCTCTGGCAGGGCTGTGTTGTCACAGGACAGCTTTAGCCCATTCATATCCACATTGTCCTCCCATTTTGTGCCCAGTGAACACCTGAAACAAGAGAGAATTCAGTTCCCTCAGTTATGGAGGTGCCTTTCTCCCATCAAAGGGCAGTTCATGTCTTACCAAGTTCACTTTTGAATGGCCCATTCCGACAAAAAAGAAGAGAAGCAACTTAGACTTTCTGAAGAATTTCTTGTCTAACAAAGCAATTCTCAGCAGGTTTATGGCTCCAACTATTTGTATAAAGCATTCTTAGCAGCTTATGAAGAAATTATAGGCATCAGCCACAAATTTTTACAAGCACAGCCACTGGCAATAATTAGAAATTTAAAATTTACGGGTAAGCAGGTTTTTGAGATGTGTTACTTCAGATGCTGAGTATGCAATGATGTATGATGATTTAAAAGCAACTATTACAAGGAAGAGAAAAAAATTAACTGCCAAGTGCAAAGCCACACCTAAGCAACACATCTGGCCAGGTGCAAAACCTGTGTGAACCAAGCAGTCAGCAAATTTCCTGTCAGTGAAAGTTTACAGTGTGCTTGGTTGTGTTCATTCATAATAAAATGGTATTTTTCTTTGTGCTTGTCCAGGGAACCCACAGAACATCACCAAGTCAAGATTTCTCTGCTTCGAGATTTGTGGTGCAGCTCCTCACACCAAATTCCCGCTGCCTTCAAGGATTTTGAGTGAGATTGCTTCATACATCATCACTGAGCAAGGAGTCATCCTCTGGGCATGAATCTCTGTGAACTCCCATTCCACAAGTGGTTTCAATAAGGCAAATCCTGCAGTAACATAAATTGCTGTCAGATGACAGTGCAAGAACACAGGTGAGACTTGAGCATCTCCTCGGGAGCTGTGAAACCCTCAGCATCATTTGTTACAGTGAGAAGATGTATCTGAATGAAGGGACAGGCATTTTATCAGGCTACAGCAATAAAATCTTTTTTTGGGACCAGGACCCGTGCTGTCTGATTAGAATGATTGAGATAATGTTTTTTTAAAAATGTTCTCAGGGAGGTTCTGAGTGAAAGTCACGGAGCGTTTTGTACAGCCAAGGAAAAATGTCTTTCTCTAGCCAAAACCAAGGTGGGTCAGCCTAAGTCAAGACTTCCCCTTTCCCAGAGGAAAGATCTGGCTTTTAAGGAAAGATTGTGTCAAAGAGAGAATTTCTTCAGAGCACTCCACTCCAGCAGCACGAGGTGACTCATTTTAGCTGGATATAATCACAGCACCTTCATGCCAGGGGTTGCTGCAATTCTTTATTTAGGGACTGTTTCCTTGCCAGCTCTGTACAGGTTCTGCTGCCAACAGCAAAGGGCAATGGTTTTCTGGGAGTTAAGCAGGTTAGGAATTGTTGCTATTATCTGATCCAGTGGGAAGGAAAGGTTGTGGCTGCTTTGCCTCCCCTCACCTCCTGCCTGGGAGGTCCTGCCTGATGTACCACTTGGGAATGGGGTTTGTGTGGCCTGGGGGAGACCTACAGGTGTGTGCTGGGATCAGCAAAGGGTGACAGAGCACTTCCCAGGGCTTCTTGTGGACCAGGAGAACAACTCTCCTGATCACAGTGACTAAAAAACAACCTAATGCTCCTCCCTGCTCCTCTGGCTGCCTCGTGAAGGCTCAACCCTGGGGGTTCACCTGCCAGACTTCCATTCACTTTTAGGAAATCAGGAAAAAAAAAAACCCAAGTAAATCCAGAGTGCTTTTGTTGTGAATATAAGCAAATAAAGAATCACAGCCCTGATTCAGCTTCCCTCAGCTAACCATGCCATTAAATCATGACAACCTGCCATGTGAAATCCAGGGAAACCTCTAGGAAGCGCTGGGCTCCCCAGCAATGATGGATAGCATCACTTGTACCTGTGTGGTGACCCCTCCAACCTTTACTTTGGGTAAGATATCCTAAAGCAGCAATACTATAATTGCTACTTTTTAACTTGCCTAATCCAGTAGATTGGGATTGTTCCCTGCATGGACTATCGGGAAAAGGAGTCTCTTATGTGCCCATCCAGATGGGTGAATCTGATAATAAACATATAAAGAACCTGCAGCATCTCTTGAAGGGTGCAGATAATACACCCCCTCACCCAGAGGGTTATTTTATGGCCAGCTCTACAGGAAGACACCAAATCTGGGGTTTCAGTATGGACTCATTCCTTCCCTGAGCAAGGAAAACTGTGCCAGATGTTTGCTACCAGCGAACTCCACTGGGAATTTATAGAATGAAGTAAAAGATCAAAAGCAATTCAAAACACAGACAGGTGATTCTCTTTAAGCACCTGGCCTCAAGCCCTTGAAAAGCCTGGCAGAGGTCAGTGTTAAGTGGCCCCTGACCATTTGGAAAGGCCTGTAAAGAAGAATATAAAGTGGTTCTACTTTTAACCAGCTTTATTGGATATGAGGTATAAATTAAGCAGATGAATGTAATTAGGGAAGCGCTCGCACGAGCTCTGCATCCCACTAACAGAGTTACCAGGAAGTCTTCGACTGCATGATCAAAACATCCTATTAAGGGCAGAATGGTTCCCTGCCTGGGGGAGAGGCTCTCCTGTGGGTGCAGCCGTGCCTCTGCTGCACTGCTGGGTGCCCTGGGGACACCACTGTGAATCCCAAACAATTCCTGTGGGTGGGACTGCCAGGGCTGTGGTTCTTGCCCACACCCTCCCTTGTGCGCTTCCCTCTGGGACATTGTCGTCCCAAAGTCTTTTGTCTCCAAAGAGGCTTCTGTGAGCAGTTGATATCCCCTCACAGAGGCAGGAGAGGAGGTTGGAGGGGCTGGGGGGAGCAGGGATCCTTTCCCCCAGGCCAGTGGGAGTTGCTGCTTGTTTTGAATGGGGGGTGGGATGTTCCGTGAAGTTCTCACACTGTGACTGCTGAGAGAATCCAGTCAAAGACTGGAAACCTCAGAGAAATCTCCCTGGAGGTCAGATTTCACCCTAAAATGAAGGATATGGGAAGTTTGTCTGTCTGTGGATTCACAGGGATTTTACAGCCTTTACCATCTTCTGCACAGCAGCCAGGCTGATTCTCTGAGCCAGGCTCTTGGGGACCACAGCCTTAAAATAGCTGAACTGTGCTCCAGGGGTTCCCAAGGAGTGTAGGACATGGGATATCTTACTTGGACCATGGCAAAGCATAAGTCAGAGCCAGGGACCATGCAGTCATGTCAGAATGAGCACCAATAAAACCAGCTAAAAGGCACGTGCCTTTACAAATTCCCAATTTTACATGACACTGAAACAGGGGTTATTTGGTGGCTGATTCCCTGCACTGATCCACAAAGAATTGGCCAGGGTCAGGCAGTTTAGTTTTGGGGCTGGACCTCTCCGAGCTGGAGCTCTGCCTGCCTGTAGCCCCAGAGACAGATGGTTTCCCATAAAAAAAGTGTCCTGCCTACATCCAGAAATAGCAAATTCATAGATCAAGTGCCTGTCAGTGGCACCTGCAAACACTACACAAGTCAGATGAAGGGCCAGATGTGTATCAGCACCGTGCTTGCATAGGATTTCCTTTAGGAAACCTTTCACCTCCACATCCCACATCCTATTACAAGTGAACTCCTTTCACTCTGCTGCTCTGTGACTGTGAGCCCTCTGGCAAGGACACCAAGTGATATCCCAGGCCCAGCCACGAGGGAAATGTCTTTAGAGCTCTGAAGTAACTCCAGCTGTTTCCGTCAGCTCCGAGGATGTCAGAGCTTTCCGGAATAGCTGCTGACGTGCACCTTGAGCTGTGCTTCCACCACAGCACAGCCCCAGCCCCTGCAGGGACTTGGCTGGGCAGGGAGCATCCCTGCAGCTCATACAGGGATTTTAGGATTTGCAGTCAGTAATGTTGCCCCAGAATTTCTTAAAAGATATCCGAGGATTTTGGAGCCCGAGTCACATTTGCTCTATCACACCATTGCTCTTAAGGAGTTTGCTATGGGAAGGCAGATAGTTTTTCTTGTCTTCTCTTATCCAAGGTGGAGGGTTAAACAAGCCGTAGAAAATCCCACTTGCCTTTGACCTCTTGATAAAAGTCTTATCTACAGCTGGTTGAAGACAGACAGCAGTAAGCAGACTTGTTGCAGATTGGGCTTATCTGGAAGTGTTCTCTTTTAAGTCCTTCAGCACATGTGTTTCCATCACCTGCCTGGTCTGAAGGGGATATACAGGCTCTCTTGTCTCCAAAATCTCTGAATCTCATTCTCCACTGTCTCCTGGTGCCCAGACAGAGCTCAGACTCTGGTTTCCATTCTTGCATTGTTTTGAAACTTCTCTTGGCTTGGGCATAAATATAATTAGATACCATTTCAAAATAGGAAATCAAGAGATGCAAAACTGGTATTACAAAGTAAAAACTTCCTGCAAGAAAGTTCCCCAAACAGCTTCCTGACATGCACATGTGCCTCTGGGCAGACAGGCAGCATCTGCAAGGTTTTGTGTGGCAGGAAAACAAGAGAGCTCAGGTAATGCCCTTTTTTGACGTGTGTACCCCTAATTAAGAGGAGGCAGGTTATAGCTTCTATCTTGGCCAGTTTCATTCCTCAGCTCAGTAAGGGACTTGTTTTAGCAGTCAGACATAGCTTGGTTTTTTGAAGGCACCAGGAGTAGTATAATAAGAAGGGGTTTCCTCCCCTTGTGCCTCTGTGTGAGGTCCTGAACAGCAGAGGTTTAGTATTCCAGCTGAATTCCTTCTGAATCCTTCAGCAGGCTGGGAGAGACACATGGAGAATTTCCACCTTTTATCTGAGCACAGAACTTTCCATCTGAATAGTGTCTCTTTAACGGGAAGCTTTTTGTCCTCCAGTGAGCCACTCATTTTTCGGGTGACGGTAACTTGCATTTTGCTGCAGATGTTGCCTATTACAGTGTTTCCCATTCCTGACATAAAGGGGATCCTGCAGGTCCTCTGGGCAAGCTGTGCCTCAGCCACAAGCAGTGCTTTGCATTCTCTGTCATGTTCCACTCCTGTGCAGCTGCACAAAACCATTTGGGCAATCAGGGAGAGAGGAGAACACAAAAGCTTGGGTACATGTGGGAGAAGAAGAGCATGAGAAACAGGGACATCTCTGCCACAAAGTCAATGGTTTGAATTTTGTGCAGGGACTTGAGCAATTGGTTTCCATGCTTGAGCAGAGGAGGCTGGGTGTTGTTAGCTAAGCACAGAGCAAAAGCTCTCTAAACACCCTCTTAGCACAAAGCAGAGCTTAAAAGCAGCACTAAATCCAGACTGTATTTTAGACCTGAGTGCTGAGGTCCTACAGAGGACAGTCACACCTCTAACTCTCCTGGGAGTATACTCCCAGCTCGGCAGGACACAGCTGCTTGTGCCATTCCCCATAGGAACTTTATATGCTGGAAAATGTTTATCTCAGTTTTGGATCAATGTTCTTGTTAAATATTGTGTATTATATAATGGAGCTATATAATGTTATGTTTATGTTATATAAAGATAAATCTTTTTATGTATCTACATAGTTCTATATGTTTACATATGCATAAACTTAAATCTCCAGCATGTTTCTTGTTTGTTCATGCCCCTCTAGCCTGCCCCCTCAAAAAGTGACGGAACCACATCATAGAACCGCAGACTGGTTTGGGTTGGAAGGTACCCTAAAGGTTGTTCTACCCCTGCCACGTGCAGGGACACTTTTCACTATCCCAGGTTGCTCCAAGCCCTGTCCAACCTGGCCTTGAACACTTCCAGGGATGGGGCAGCCACAGCTTCTCTGGGCAACCTGTGCCAGGGCCTCCCCACCCTCACAGGGAAGAATTTCTTTTTAATATCTAATCTACTCATCAAATCTCTCTGCTGGTTATGTTATAGCTCTTCCTAATACAGGCTACTTAATACCTGCAGAGCAGGCATAGGGCTTGCCAGTGTTTGAGTTCAGACTTACACTCAAGTTTTGCACCACTTGGCAACACTTTTGCTTCTTCAGGGTTCATTTATCTGAATTTTTCAG